TCTTTCCTCTCAGTCATACATTTAAGAAACAATTCTCATCCTTTGGAGCTAACATTCTGGTTGTGATAACACCTACCAAAAAAAGGAAAGGTTAAGTTATAGTAAAAGAGTAGAAGAAAAGCCACGAGATTTGTTGAATTTGCTCTGACTGACGTAAGGAATAACCTGGGTTTAAATACCTGCTCTGTCACTAATTTTGTGATCTTGGACAAGATTTCTTCACTAGTTAAGTGGGGATAATCCTGGTTATAAAGACAAAGGGAAACAATAAATACAAAATTCCTGACACATAAAAGGCACTCGGTAAGATATGATTATTGTCAGCATCTAACTTTGAAGCAAATGGGTCACCTCTCTGTGTTGTTTACACCTTAGCTTTTCTTTCTTTGACTCTTGGGATATCCAGGGTCTCCAGAGGACCAAGCAAAGATCTTTTAAAGAAGTCAATTTCAGGGCTTCCCTGGTGGCGCAGTGGTTGAGAATCTGCCTCCTAATGCAGGGGACACGGGTTTGAGCCCTGGTCTGGGAAGATCCCACATGCCGCGGAGCAACTAGGCCCGTGAGCCACAACTGCTGAGCCTGCGCGTCTGGAGCCTGTGCTCCGCAACAAGAGAAGCCGTGATAGTGAGAGGCCCGTGCACCGCGATGAAGAGTGGCCCCTGCTTGCCACAACTAGAGAAAGCCCTCGCACAAAAATGAAGACCCAACACAGCCGAAAGTAAATAAATAAATTAAAAAAAAAAAAAAAAGAAAAGGAGTCAATTTCAGAAGATTGTCTAGAAAGTACTTTTGCCTGAGGGGGAGGCATTTTTAGGAAGCTTCTCTTTGATTTTTTTTTCTTCCCATTACAGCCTGCTCCTTAGCCCTCCACAAGAAGTGAGGCCAAGAAGAGAAATTGAAAAAGAAAAACGGAGGGAAAAAAGAATTGAAAAAGAAAAGAAAGATCAGGCAGCTGAACATCTGAGGCCCACGCAGAGCCCTCTTGTTGTCTTTAGCTGCATGACAATGTCTGGGGGTATAAGCAGTACTTCCCAAAACTTTGCAGAATCAGCTCTTTTTTGCTTAAAGTGCCCCCCACAACTCCTCACTGAAAGGCAATAATAAAAGCATGAGGTTTGAAGTTAGAGAAAGCCTGGGTTTTAATCCTTACTCTCTTACTACTTTCACAGCTTTGTGACTTAGAGATTTAACTTCTCTGATTTTGTTTCCTCAGTTATAAAATGAGGATAGTACCAGCTACTTCACTGAGTTACTTTTTAGGATAAATGAGGTAATATTTGTATAGAGTTTGATACATTGTAGGCATTTAATAAATATTTGGTCCTTCCCCTTCCAAACATGGAAGACCACCCTTCTTGAAGGCTCAAGTTGCTTCTTATTTTGCTTTCTAGGCTAACCCCCTGATTGTTTTATCTTTTCAGTTCTGTTTTACTTAAATCATTGTTCTCTGAATTCTCTAAAAATGCTTTAACATTATATTTTAAATGGTGAGGTAAGTGGACAACGGGATTCTAATTAAGATCTGCCTAGTTCAAAATATAGCAGAAGGACCCATGTTATAGAAAGGTCTTAAATTCACGGGGCACATTACATTGATATTAAACAAACCTTTCTACTGGGTTCAATTTTTGCATCCCTGCTTCCTATGGGAGTACTGATTAACAGACTTTGAGTCTTATCTTCTTGTTCTAACCAATTAAAGTTGCTGGAAAGTGGTATAAAGTACAGCTGAAGGGCCTAACTAGATGGCAGCAATTAGGACACACGGAGGGACATAGTTAAGATGAAGTATGTAATTTGTTCCACATATTTAGAAGCTCCTCAGTGATGTTTTCAGATTAGAAATGTGGCATCTTTGTTCCGGTGGACTTTGGAATGAGTACCCAGTTTCCTAGCCCAGAAACTCAAGAGGTGTCAGAAGATTGTCTAGAAAGTACTTTTGCCTGAGGGTGAGGCATTTTTAGGAAGCTTCTCTTTGATTTTTTTTTCTTCCCATTACAGCCTGCTCCTTAGCCCTCCACAAGAAGTGAGGCCAAGAAGAGAAATTGAAAAAGAAAAACGGAGGGAAAAAAGAATTGAAAAAGAAAAGAAAGATCAGGCAGCTGAACATCTGAGGCCCACGCAGAGCCCTCTTGTTGTCTTTAGCTGCATGACAATGTCTGGGGGTATAAGCAGTACTTCCCAAAACTTTGCAGAATCAGCTCTTTTTTGCTTAAAGTGCCCCCCACAACTCCTCACTGAAAGGCAATAATAAAAGCATGAGGTTTGAAGTTAGAGAAAGCCTGGGTTTTAATCCTTACTCTCTTACTACTTTCACAGCTTTGTGACTTAGAGATTTAACTTCTCTGATTTTGTTTCCTCAGTTATAAAATGAGGATAGTACCAGCTACTTCACTGAGTTACTTTTTAGGATAAATGAGGTAATATTTGTATAGAGTTTGATACATTGTAGGCATTTAATAAATATTTGGTCCTTCCCCTTCCAAACATGGAAGACCACCCTTCTTGAAGGCTCAAGTTGCTTCTTATTTTGCTTTCTAGGCTAACCCCCTGATTGTTTTATCTTTTCAGTTCTGTTTTACTTAAATCATTGTTCTCTGAATTCTCTAAAAATGCTTTAACATTATATTTTAAATGGTGAGGTAAGTGGACAACGGGATTCTAATTAAGATCTGCCTAGTTCAAAATATAGCAGAAGGACCCATGTTATAGAAAGGTCTTAAATTCACGGGGCACATTACATTGATATTAAACAAACCTTTCTACTGGGTTCAATTTTTGCATCCCTGCTTCCTATGGGAGTACTGATTAACAGACTTTGAGTCTTATCTTCTTGTTCTAACCAATTAAAGTTGCTGGAAAGTGGTATAAAGTACAGCTGAAGGGCCTAACTAGATGGCAGCAATTAGGACACACGGAGGGACATAGTTAAGATGAAGTATGTAATTTGTTCCACATATTTAGAAGCTCCTCAGTGATGTTTTCAGATTAGAAATGTGGCATCTTTGTTCCGGTGGACTTTGGAATGAGTACCCAGTTTCCTAGCCCAGAAACTCAAGAGGTGTGTTCAGAGGTGGTAGGCTCAAAACTAGAGACTACAAAAAGTTAATATTAGCAGTAAGTGGGAAGGGGTGGGGTCAGGATACACTACCAGTGAAACAGTAAACAAATAGGTGTTGAATGAAGAAGCATTTAGTCTGTTGATTGTAAGGTTAAATTTGTTTTCTATTCCAAGCAATGAAAAATAGGAGTGCAAAGAGCACTGTCATTTACCATTCTTATAAGAGTGTAACATCTGAAATTAGGCTTTTTAATAAACAGAAGCCTTCAGTTTGAAATTCTGAACTCTGTGTAGTCTGTCAGTCTCAGTAACTTTCCTTCATCCGTGTACTTTACAGCTGGACTTAGTCTAAACAGTTGTTTTTTTTTTAATTGTTAAAGGTTTAGATTTGCAGTATGTGTTTGAAGTCGTATGTCTTTATACAGAACTGGTGGTTTTCAAAGTGTGATCCCTAGAGCAGCAATATCAGCATCACCTGCTAACTTGTTACAAATGCAAACTCCTAATACAGTCCCAGACTGGGATTGGAGCCCAGCAGTCTAGTTTAACAAACCCTCCAGGTGATTTGATGAAGTTTGAGAACACTTGCCTTAAAATTATAGAAGAAACACTGTGGAAATGTTATATAAGGAGAACATTCTATGTTAGAATGTTCCACTAATTTTAGGGAGTATAATTTTTTTGGTTGTTGTTGTTCTCAGTGGACCGTAGTATGTAACCTTTTAGTTGCTGCTCTTCATTGCCTCCATACTCGGCCCCCATCTCTGTTAGTACTCCTGTTGTAGCATTTAACTATACTTCATTGCTGACTTCATAGACTGGGAACTCTAGTATATAAACATAGTGGAGATTGGGACCATGTTTGACTTGTTCTGTTGTTTCTCATATACTTTATAGGACAAGGTGCCTGGCTCTTAGTAAGTCTTCCATAGTGGTTAGTGATCATACCTGTATCTGTCCCTTCATGTGCCTTTCCATAGGAAGCACTCAAACACTTGTAGTCACTGAATGAATGGATGGATGGGTGAATGAAGTTCCCTAATGATAGAAAATCTTTTTGGTTGCTAAGGTTCTAGCTGATGAAACTGTCTTAACCCATGAATTGAAATTATCTTGGTGCATTTTTTTCCTTTAGGGCACAGTGAATTTGGGCTAGATAGTGTTCAGTATATATTAAAACACTTCCTGAGGAATGGGCTTTTGGGACTTCCCTGGCGATCCCATGGTTAAGACTCCACCCTTCCACTGCAGGGGGCTGGGATTTGATTGCTGGTCGGGGAACTAAGATCCCACCTGCCAAAAGGAAAAAAAAAAAGAAAGAAAGAAATGGGCTTTAATTAGCATGTTTACGTATGTTATTTTATTCTGTCTTTATAATAACCTCATGAGGTAGATATTGCCTCCATTTTACAATGAGGAAACCAAAATTCAGAGCAATTAAAAAACTTTTCAGAGTTCACACAACTGGTGAGTGGCAGAGTAAAAACCAGCTCTTTCAGACTCTTAAGGATTACTACTATCCAAAGCACTACTGTTACAGAATTTTAATGGGACTCTCGGTTGTGTATTTAAATTATTGACTTTGTCTCTTCATTAAGATATGACTTTGTACTTTTTTCTTGATGCAGATTTTAATTTTTTTAGTTCGTTTGTCCCCTTTCCCCCAATTCACTGCTAAATCCATTTTGTGTTAAGAACATTTGAATGTCTCTGTAGAGGTTTCCACTAGAAGTGGAAGAGCAAACTGCTCTTATTAGAAGCAGGCTTTGGGTTTCCTAGTCAGCTTCATCTAGCTTTGGTGCTTTCACCCAGTCTCCATTTGAAATTAGTACTTTCTCATTACACAGTACTCTGTGTTATTGCTTTAAGCTAAGCAGACTCAGAATTTTGCCTTTATTTAAAAGAGAAAACTAAATTAAATTCTGTTTGTCCTATTCAGAAATTGAGAAGATTCAGAAAGGGGATTCAAAAAAGGACGATGAGGAGAATTACTTGGATTTATTTTCTCACAAGAACATGAAGCTGAAGGAGAGGGTTTTGATACCTGTCAAGCAGTATCCCAAGGTAAGGGAA